AACATATATATATATATATATATATATATATATATATATATGAAAAAGATATGGTAAGCAGCCTCTTGTAAATAAGAAAAATGCACCAACGGTGATGAGGGACTAGTCATTGAATGGATGGTGAGAGATATTGTCTCAAAATTCAAACTAAACACATTAATGTTTTGTACTCTCTCTCTTGACAGCCTGACTTTCTCTCTCACCTCAAGACTCTTTCTTTCCAAACACATTTATTACGCCAACCGATGTGTCTCGCAGCTCACGATGCTCTCTCTTTCTTGACCCAATGTAAACAAAACCAGATCCCTGCCTCCTCCTCTCTCTCTCCCCAACCATGCTCTTTCTCCTCCAACGCGTAACCATTATTGGCGGAGGCTGTTGCACCAGGTACGCTCCTCCTCTTCCTCTCTCTCTCGGCTTTAGTTTTCTATATGGGCCTCTCTCTCTCCTCAATAGATGACAATGTCACTCTCTCTCTCTCTCCCCAACAAAGGACAATGTCCCTCTCTCTCTTTCTCCCCAACAGAGGCTGTGGTATCTCTCTCTCTCTCGCTCTCTCTCTCTCTCACCCCAATAGAGGCTGCAGTATCTCTCCCTCTCATGCCCCAATAGAGGTCTCTCTTTCTCTATTCCCCAATCCCAATACCCTGATATGGGGAAATCTTTCGATCAGCAATGGAGTTTTCATGTCGTTTTGATCCGTCTGTGGTAAGGCAATGATTGCACTCCGCCGATGCATTTTAGGATTCATCTCTCTAATAGGAACTCGATTCCTTGCCATTCATTTGTTTGTTATTCTTAATTTTCATGTTTTCATTTCATTTTTTTTTTTGGTAGAGTTTCACGCATTCAAATTGTTATTTCATTGGTGTTTACATGGTGTTAAAGAGATTGCAAACATTATGCGACAATTTTATGAATTTGAATATATCATTTTATGGGTCAATGAACATGGAATTAATGGTTTTGATGAATAAAAGAATAAAATAAAAAATATTTCTATTAAATGCACCCCATTAACATAATTGGGTCAATGGAATTGAGCCACTGTTTTAGTATTGAAATGTAACAGTAAAAAAAGCTACAAATAAGATCTCACTTCTTGAGAAAAATACATTTAATTTATTTTTACAAGATTAAATGCTGCAAATACTAAACATATTTAAAAATTGAATAAATTAATCAGTTAGACGATTAATTAAGTAGCCTAATGGGATTTGGATGTTTGTGCAGAATCGCCAGAGGCTAGGTGGCACCCAGGTCAGTGAATTTCAATAGATAGATGAATGCGTGAAACTCTACAAATTGAATGCATAATGTAACCAAAGCCATGCCTCCTCTCTCTCTCCCCAGTCGTGCTCTTCCTCCTCCAATACGTAACCATTCTCGGCTGAGGCTGCTCTACCAGGTACGTTCCTCCTCTTCCTCTCTCTCTTGGCTGTAGTTTTCTACATGGGCCTCTCTCTCTCTCTCTCCTCAAAATAGAACATGTAAATTTCATTTTCTTGGATACTTAATTAGTTAATTTCAATGGGCTTATATACTAATTACTTGACGTTGATATTATTGGAAAGCAATGGAAGATAAGATACTAGCCTTTGTCTCTCTCTTTCTCTGTAAGGGCGATGATTCAATTGAGCCTGACCTCTCACAATAATGGAGAGAAGGGAGCCTTAAGAGGCAGAAGTCCAACCCTCACGTACGACTGTGTCTTTAAATAGCACCCTCAACCCATCGCCGCCTGCTTTCCCTTTCCTTCTCAATTTTTTTCCCCTTGCCCTTACTCCCTGCACGAGCACTGCGCCATCATTGTGGGAGGCCTCTGGAGCAAAGGCAATTGCATGAAGCTGCCATGAGGTACGTCGAACGCGGCGGACGAGCTATGTGCAGGGGTGGGAGTGTCATGAACAAGGTAAGTGGGTTTAGTGCTATGTTTTTAGGCCTAATTGGAACTTAATGGAATGTTGTCAAGGAAAAGAATTAATGGAGAATAAATTGTAAATTTTGAGAGAAATCATAGAGCCCCTTTTTTTTTGTGTGCCAAACTCGCTAGCTTATTCAATGAGTTGTGAGTTAATTCATGAGCATGTAATACGACGACGACACCTAGAATTTCCAGCAACATCAAGGCGGTTGCTTGACACTTTTTACTAGTCAAACGGCACCCGTTTGGGCCCAAATCAGCTTCAAACAAATGATATACATATCTAGTTAAAGTTTTTTTTCTGCACCATGTTATAATATCATGAAAATTAAGAGACATGACCCCTTATGCGAGATATGGCATTACCACGGTTGCTGTGAATTTCCAGCAACTGTGACCCCCTTTGGGTCCCATTTTTGGCCAGGTAAATGACATCTAAATGCCCCAAATTGCCATCGTTGTAAAGCCTTTGAATGAATGAAAGGTTGCATGTTTTAGGATTTTTGAAATTTTCTATGAATCTTGATTTATATTTGAAAATGTATGACTATGTCATTACTCATCACTATTGTCTGCTTAAGATCGCACCTCAATCTCAGGTGTAAGGATTGACCTTCTTGAGAAATGAAGCATCTAACTCTCTCATTTACCTATTTATTGAAGCATTAAGGCTTAATGAATGAATAATGAATATGAATGCTATATGATAATTGTCATATGCATACTACTAGATGATGAGAATAATGCTACTTAACAAGATGCTATGTGAAAAGTAGATGGTGCAATAATGACACACGATGAAATTTTCAGGATAATTGTTAAAACACCAGGAACGATGCTCATGTGTGAATGTCATACTTTGAAGCACGAGATGAATGCCTAGTGATGACTTTCATACTATTATGATATTGTTTTAATGAGAATGCTAACCACTATGCATTGGGACTCGAGCCCATTGGTAGTGGATACTATGCTATCATGCTGACCGCTACGCATTGAGACTCGATCCCTTCGGTAGTGGATACTGGACTTAATGATGAGAACACCGGCCGCTACGCGGTGGGACCCGAGCCTATCGGTAGTGGAGCTAGGTTCACCGAGATGGTAATGATAGTGTATTCCCTAGCCTGTACAATGACAGGAGCATGTTAGGGGAGAAAAGAGGGTCGCTTCCTATGATTCATGATATGAGATATGAGATTTGAGTTGATGCTTTGCAAGGTGAAGGCTTGTCGAACGCCAATGTGTGCTAGGGACCGTGTACGTGAGTTGAGGGTATTACGAACTGGATTGCTCCGCTTGTCATCACCCTCCCTCCTATGGGATGATAGAAGCCCTAAGCAATGGGATTGGCTTAGCTTGATGGATAGGTCTTCTACTAGGAGGAGTAGGTGAGTTAGGGAGTGAGTATGGGATGCATATATTGAAACTATGATTTCTTTTGTATTGCCTGCCTGGTGTTGCTTATGTTGGATGCCCTTTTATATTAGATATCTTGTTATATCGACTGCATTGATTAGATAACCAATATGCTGAACTACTGCACTATTATAAATTACGATTAATGATACTATTCCTTGCACCTGAGTATGCTTAATATCCATGCATAACACTAGATCTGCTTACTGAGCTTCAAAGCTCAATCCACTATATTTTTCTCCCTGTAGATTCAAAGCAACGAGTTACAAGTTGGAGGTGTGGGCTGCAGCTGAAGACTGAAGCGACTACTTTCCGAAGAAGTTCGAGAATCTTGTAGGTTTTGGGCCTCAGCCTTGCTTAGATTGTTTCTTAGGGATTTTGTAATTATGGGTATTGGAGCCTTGAACTTGATTGTATCACCTTTTGAACTATAATACAATATAATATCCTTCTCAGGAATGGGCTTTATTAAGTTTTAATTTATATAAGGGTTTACTTCCTTGGTTAGTTGATTACCATATCGAGGCGTTAAATTTACCCTCACCTGGGTGATAAACGCTGCATTGGGATCACGAACCCGTGGCCGGTCCCCTTCCATTGAGAAGGTTAGGTAGACAGGAGCAGGGTCGTGACATTCTCTTTCTAACATTTCTCTCTCTAAAATTGTAGAAAGGTATTGGGCTCGAGCTTTCACTTTGTCTCTTCGATCTAGTAGATGTGTTTTAGGATTCATCTCTCTAATGGGAAGTCGATTCCTTGCCATTCATTTATTTGTTGTTCTTGATTTTCATGTTTTCATTCTTGTTTTTTTTTTTTAGAGTTTCATGCATTCAATTTGTTATCAAACTAGTGTTTACGTGGTGTTACAGATTTTTCATGATTATATCTCCTCTTGGATTATTTCTAATTTATATAAATCACATTTGTGTAGTAGTCCATGAATTTTGATATCATAGTGAAAAGGCTAGAATTTTGATGTTATTCCTATATAGACGTGGGTGGTGTTTCATTTGTTATGCATTGTGTATGATTTGTAAGTATATGAAATCAACAATTAAACTTTATATGTAAAATTTGTTAGTCATAAGTTCATATACAAATTTTGTTTTGTGTAGGCTCATTCAAGTACCTCAAATGGGCTGATCCATTTCAGACAGTGTGTCATTTGCCACATTTTCAGATCAAGGCAACATGGGGGATGACATTGAACCCGTCGAGCAAGATCACCTGCTCGTAAATCGCCCCCCAGCCCCCCCCCCCCAAGAGAAATTTACAAATACGAAAATCGAAGAACCCCACATGGGAATGAAGTTTGGTTATGAAGAAGATGCATGTGAATATTACAGGGCATTTGCATTGGCGCAAGGGTTTGGCTCCCTCAATCAAGGTATGGATGCAAGGCTAAGCCATACATAAGCTTAAATTCTATAGTGGGTAGTGACTAAGTTTGTAAATGATTACAACCACGTCCTTGTCAGTTCAAGGAAAGCTAGACTAATTCGATCACACCGAACAATATCGAATGCAAAAAAGTTGATGAGAAATTCTATGAGCTCTGCTTTGGTGAAATCTATTCTATGATCTCTGCTTTGGTGAAATCTATGAATATTTATGATATTTTTATAGAGCAAGTTGGGGGGGGAGGGTTGAGAATCTCCAATGCTCATAAAAAGATATCGAAAACCAAATAGCAAAAAATCGTAGAAAATTGGAAGGAGAAGATGGAAATCATGCTATGCAATGGCTGTACAAAATGAATGAATCAAAACCTTCATTTTTCTATTGGGTTAAATTAGATGAAGATGGTCATCTAATCAGTATGCTATGGGTAGATGCTATGTCAAGGGTGTTGTACCACCACTTTTCAGATGCGATGAATTTTGATACGACATACAAGACGAACTTGTTTGGTATGCCCTTTGCTCCCATACTTGGTGTGAATCACCACTTCAGCACAACTTTTTTTAGGTTCGCACTTATATTTGATGAGAAGATGGAGTCATTTGTATGTGTATTTGATGCGTGGCTAGAAGCAATGAGTGGTGTCAACCCGATGTAATTATCACTGATCAAGATCTTGCAATTACTATTGCAGTGATACAAATTCTGAAAGAAAGTAGGCATCATTATTGCAAATGGCACATACTTACAAAGGTGAAATAAAAATTGTACCATGTATTACGTTGGCATCCCACTTTTTCAGAAATTTTTAAGAAGTGTATAACAAACTCAACCATAGAAGAGTTTGAGGCAGATTGGAAATCTCTTATTGAGAAATATAATCTTCAACAAAATGAATGACTCATTAGAACATACAATTGTCCAATGTAGTGGGTTGATGCATATGTGGCTAATGCATTCACAACTAGTATGTCAATGACTCAAAGAAGTGAAGGCATGAATAAGCACGTTAATATGTATTTAACTCCCACAACAAGCTTGCACCTTTGTTGGAAATTACTCAAAAAGTACATGAAAAGAAGCTTTACAAAATGAGGGAGAATAACTTAAAGAACATCACTTCTACTTCTATTTTGATGACCACTACCTTCATAGAGGACATGTTTCGATGATCTATACACACAAAATGATGAAGTTTTTTGGGGAAGAAGTTGCAGATTCCGTAAATTACAAGATTGAAGCCATTGAAGACAACGACACAGTTGCCACCTATAAGGTGACAAAACCTGGAAGTGGAACAAGGGTATTTGTTGTAAAATTCAATAGTCATAATCAAATTGCTTCTTGTACTTGCCACTTGTATGATAGGTTAGTCATTCTTTGCATGTATGTGCTTAGAATCTTTTTAGTGAATAATATTTTTGAGATCCCATCACATTTCATAATGAATCGATGAAAAAGGTGTGCTGAAAGGGGCTGTATTTGATGAAAGAGGCAAGAAAATTCAAGTCTCTTATGATCTAGCCTAGTCCATTCGTTATAATGAAGTTTGCCAAATGGCTCGAAAATTCGTAGAGAATGCCTTAGAAAGCATGGAACTCTATGAATTGATAATGTCTGATTTTGCTACTACACATGCAAAAGTTGATGCCAATATTGCGAGTAGGGCAGAATCAAGTAACGTTACCAAGACCCCCAGTAATAGGAGAAGAAATAAGGGTTACCCTCTTCAAAATATCCTTGAGCCCTTGCGAGCACGAACAAAGGGACGACCTTGTCCTACAAGGTATAAATCTTGGTATGAAGTAGAGTTAGAGATAGCGAAAGCAAAAGAAAATGTGAAGGACGATATTAGAAAGTGTGCAATTTGTAAGAAGAGTGGACATGACAAAAGAAATTGTCCATCATTCGTTCATTCAAAGTACGCATAAATAATTGCTCAATACTCTTTGTGAATGTAACATGGATTTATTAAATGTTTATAAGGTATTTTCTTATAACAGGTTAAATGACACTATGGTAGCTATATATGGGACCTATGAAGACATGGAACATATATAGTAATGATAATGAATCAAGTAAGTGTTGTGTTATATGCTGCTGAATTTGTTGTGTTCTAATATTGTGTTGTGTTATTTAGAAATACGCTACATACATTAATGTGATGTAATGATATTTTGTTACAGGAAGTACAGAAGGAAATCACCTTTTGAATTCCAATATGTTATATTGTGTTGTTTGATATTCTAGTTTGATTGAGAAACACAACTTCACTATTCAAGAAGAAGCTAAGAAAAGCCAGAAGTAGAAGTACAACAATTAAGCCATGTGACCATCATGGAGGGAGGAGACTGATGTGGTTTTTTTTATGACATGATAATTTGAACTTGGAGTTGTATTTGTGTTGCATTTGTACCTATGAAATATTTTGTTTCATTGCAAATTATATTAAGTGCTAACCACTAGAAAAAAATTGGGTAGGACAACAAGATACTTTGGGTTGGTTGTATCTTTATGTTGAAATGGCATATGAGCAATTGCATTAAAATACTCTCTCTCTCTCTTTCTCTCTCTCCATTATTTCTCCTTAACCGTGGTTTTCAACAACTTATTGTGGCCATTTGTGGGATGAGCTTCTTTCCTTCAATCAATTGTAGGAACAAAGAATGGAGCAATATTCTGTGAACCACTATTTTGTTGATCATCAATTTTTTTTAAATCAAATTATGACTAACAAAACCTGATTGGGGACTGGATTTTTAAACATTTTGATACGATTCCTCAATCATCATCATATTAATCTAAGACATGGTAGTCAAACCTACTTTGGGTTATGTTTTTAGAAGCCATGAATTGGGCAAAAGACTCTATAAGAAAACTCCATACCAATAAGGTTGTCTGCCTCTATAAATCCACATCTTTTGGAGCATAATCTTAAAAAATAACTACATTTGTGCTCAATAACAAGACAAAAATGTATTCGCTTCACACAAACTTGAGAAACTCGAAATAGAAGTACACAGAATAACTTTGAGGCCAAAAAAATGAGAGACATATTGCTTCTTTTGTATGCAAAATATAGTTTATTTACGACTAAGTCAAAGAAGTACACCTCACTCCTTTTTTATAAGGAGAAAGAAATATACAACATGAAATACTAAACTCAAAGCTAATATGAATATAATTACAAGCTTCTTAGATTTCTCTTGAGCAGTCAAATGTTGTTGGTTCGCTTACATGATCAATGACTCGAAGTTAGATGTCGTTGGCTCCAATATATTGCAGTTTTGGGAGTACCGGAGTTGCACATCACCCATTCCATAAATTACATGATTTGCACTTTTGTTCACTTCTAGATGTGTACATCTCTCATTTGTGGCCACAATTTCTGCCAATCTTGACTGGATATGTCATGGTGTTACTTGTGGATGAACTTGCCATCTTTCTACCTACATCAATTAGAACACAATTTGTGAATAACACTATCACGCAATCATCAAAAGTGAGAGCTCAATAACTATTCAAGTAACATGACATGTTTTGTTCCAGAGCAATGGAGTTTTCATGTCGTTTTGATCCGTCTGTGGTAAGGCATTGATCGCACTCCGCTGCTCATACAAAGATTCCCCATATCAGGGTACTGGGATTGGGGGTTAGAGAGAGAGAGAGAGACCTCTATTTGGGGCATGAGAGAGAGAAAGATAGACCACAGCTCTGTTGGGGCGAGAGAGAGAGAGGACATTGTCCTCTGTTGGGGAGAGAGAGAGAGGATATTGTCCTCTGTTGGGGAGAGAGAGAGAGGACATTGTCCTCTATTGGGGGGAGAGAGAGAGAGAGACCCATGTAGAAAAATAAAGATGAGAGAGAGAGGAAGAGGAAGAGGAAGAGCGTACCTGGTGGAGCAGTCTCTATCGAGAATGATTGCCCGTTGAAGGAGGAAGAGCACAACTGGGGAGAGAGAGAAAGGAGGAGGCAAGGGCTCTGGTTACATCAAGCAGATAGAGAGAGAGCCTCATGAGGTTGGAGGAGAAAGAGCATGGCTAGGGAAAGAGAGAGGAGGCAGGGCTCTGGTTACATTAGGTAGAGAGAGAGAGCCTCATGAGGTTGGAGGACGTAAAGCATGGCTGGGGAGAGAGAGAGAGGAGGAGGCATCGCTCTGGTTTTGTTTACCTTGGGCAAAGAGAGAGAGAGCCTCGTGAGCTGCGAGACACATCCGTTGGCGCATTAAATGTGTTTAGAGAGAGACAGAGTCTTGAGGTGAGAGAGAAAACCAGGTTGTCAGGAGAGAGAATACGAAACATTAATGTGTTTAGTTTAAATTTTGGGAAAATATCTCTCACTGTCTATTCAATGATCAGTCCCTCATCACCGTTGGCGCATTTTCCTTATTCACACGAGGCTGCTTACCATATCTTTTCCTCACTGTCCATTTAATGAAAAGTCTTCCCAACACATATAGGTGAAAATGAACATTGATTTTGCCTATGCTCATCACCGTCCAAAGTTCATCGCACGGTCACGATCGTCTGATAGTGTTTAAATTTTTATTTTATTTCTATAAATCGGAATGATATGAAATTTTGAGCGTACGTATATATTAGTAAGGCGCACCTAATAAAATATGAAAAAAATATTTTGTAAAATATAAATTGACCAAAATACTCTTGTAAATTTTTAAGGGTATTTTGATCAATTTATATTTTACGAATTATTTGTTTTGTATTTTTATTAGATTATTCTATTTTTGATAAACCAACACACCAAATTTTAGATTCTTGCAATTTGTAGAAACAAATTAAAATTGAAACACTTCCGGACAACTGTGACCCTGCGATGAACTTTGGAGGGTGATAAACATAGGCGAAATCACTGTTCATTTTCGTTATA